CCACGCCGATGAGGATGGCTGGGATTGCCGGAGGGCGAGACGGAGCACGTCGGCTCGGGGCCGCTGCGAAAGGCTCGCCTCTCTTTTCTGTAAGTTGGAGGCGAGTAATCTCCTTGAGTTGTAAAGCTTTGCAAATTTTCCTTTAAATGGTAGCTAAAGAAAAGGACCAATTTTTTTTTTTTTTTAAAAAAAAAGCTCTTTGAGAAGCTAGTGGAGCAGCTGGTGATGGACAGCTGTGTTTAAGGGATTTCCCCTCAAATTAAGGATGCCTGTCTGTGTCTTGACCGATCTGGGAGAAAATCACAGGGTGCAGAAAAGTAAGGGAAGAGGCCTTCAGTAAACCCTACTTTCTGGGTCGTGGCAAGATCCACTGCTCTGAAAAGGCTGAAGCAGAAGTTGCGAAGAGGTTTTGGCTTGCTGCAACCAAGGGGGTTTTCTGAAAACAATCTTTCTAACGTTAATGAAGCAGAGAAACCTGAGTACAGCTGTTGGGTCAGCTGGGGCAATGAAACGCTTTTCACCTGTGTGCTTGCAACTTTTTGGCCGAAGGACGTAGCCAGGGCTTAGGTTTGCATATCTGTGATAGGTTTCATCCCTCCTCGAGGAGGCGTTTGCCAGGTCGCCTGAGACCGCTTGTCGGTAGTAAAGACTTTTAAAAAAAAAAAAAAGGGGGAACCCTTAGCTATGCTTCAGGATTTCGTCAAGGTCTCTCTCGGGTACCTGTAATGAATAGGGCTGATCCGGCAGCACTCCACTCTTTGAGTTTTATTGCTTCAGCAAACATCTACTTCCTTAGTCATCTCCCTCATTAACGAGGAAAGCTGGCAAGCAAAAGATGCATGTGCCAAGAATTAGCTATGCTTCAGGATTTCGTCAAGGTCTCTCTCGGGTACCTGTAATGAATAGGGCTGATCCGGCAGCACTCCACTCTTTGAGTTTTATTGCTTCAGCAAACATCTACTTCCTTAGTCATCTCCCTCATTAACGAGGAAAGCTGGCAAGCAAAAGATGCATGTGCCAAGAACAGTTTACTCTGGAAAGCTTCTTGGCCTTTTATCCTCTCTTTTTGGTTTCTTTTTTGTTTGAGAAGGACTTATTGGGATGCCGTAGAACAGCTCTTTTTCTTAATCTGGATGCACCTGAACCTCTTCCTCCTCTCCTTTCCCTCGGCTTTCTTCCTGGCCCCTCCAGGACTTGCTACGAAGCGTGCCTGTGAAAACTCCACCTTCAGTCGTGTTTGGCAAGGCTGGGCCCAAAGACAGGGCAAAGAACAGTCACCTGTAGCTAGGCCGTTCAACCTTTTTCTCTCTCTCTCTTCTCCATAAACTCACCTAATGCTTTCAGCGTACTCTCTAATCTCACGTTCCTTCTAGCTGGGTCGATGACTGCGTCTGTCCTCCCTGGTAGGAGCGATGGTGGACGCAAGGCTAAATTTGGAGTGACTGGCGTCGCCTCACTCAGGAGGAAGTGGCAAGGAGATTTCGTGCTGCCCTAGCAGCCCTAAGCAAAGAGAAGCAGTGTCTCTCATTGCGTTTGTACGGAAGCTGCTGCCCTGAGGAACCGCAAATTTGCGATTCCCAACGCTGATGGCAGCTTTGGGCGAGTCAGACGCTGGATTTTTGGTGGGTTTACAGAGAGTAGAACAGATGTGTAATGTTTATCCTGTAAACGCTGGGTTGTTAAATAAGACAATCCTTCTCTCTGAGCCCTAGGTCTGAGGCAAAAGGTTGCTAAGAAAGAGCCATAGCATCTGGCCTCAGTTCTCTCTCTCTGCGTCTCCACGGATCAGAGCTTAGATCTTTCTGCTAAAACAGGTTCATTCCTTCAAGGACCAAATGGGCTGCACGAGGCAGGGCAAAGGTTGGAATTTGACCCAAAAACGTTGTGCGTGTGTGGAGATGGTGTGCTGCACAGCTCCGATCTAGACAGCAGTGCCTGAGCGGAGGTGGCACGGAGGAAATGATGCTTTACAGGTGAAGCTTGACTCATCAAGCCTTAGAGTGGCCCAGTGGAAGCATGTTTTGGTTACTTTCCTCTATATCTAGGGCTGAGAGTTTGAATTATTATTATTCTTTTTTTCTGGGCATGTCCTGAGGGCTGCCTTTAGTTGATGCCATTTGCAAATAAGAGCCTGGTCATCTGCCCATGGAGTCAAAGGCTGCTGGGTGTGATACTACCTGTATTACTCGCATAAGAGCTGTGGGACACAGAAAATAGTGGATCTCGGTCATATTATCTTGTCTAGCCTGCCTATGGAAGGGTGTTTTGGTCCCCCCCCCCATAACCAAGTGAAAGCTTTCTAATGACTTGAGTGGGGCAGGAAACTGTCAACTTGATGCCCCCCTGACATACTAGGGACGCAGGCAGCATTTGAGGAGGGCTGATCGGGGAAGGAATGTGAAGGCTAATGAGTAAAAGCTGAGTTTGCCCCACGTTTGAGCTGTACTTGGAGGAAATAGATGCATAGTGGGGGGAAGGGAGTAGAAAAGATCAGGTGTGGAAGGGCAGATGTAGGATTAAGGTGGATCTGGGAGCCTCCATCTTCCAGTGAGGACTGAGAAGAGAGCCGGAGGCCTGGCCAGGGATCCACCGGAGGACACCCATTAAAAAACAACTGAGTAGATTACGGTGGATTTAAAATTCCTCTGAGCCATAGTTTTTGTCACTTGATGCTTCTGTGCCGTTCTGCACTCTCCGTATTCGATGGAGAGAGAAAGCGTGCTAACAGAGGGCAGCCTCTGTCCATCGATACTGAGGCAGTCATCTCCCTTTGCTGCAGGGTGTAACGTGGGATGAATTTTGGCTGTTGCATTAAAAGGTTGAGATCTGTTGGATTTTTTTTTTTTGCTGGTTGGTTGGTTTTGTTTTCTGCTTGCATGCAAAGCAAGCCTGGGACACAAGACGGCAGGAGCAAAGATGTTCTGCCAGCTCTGAAAAGGTCTGTAGAGAAACTGATAGCTTTAGCCTTTACCGCAGTTAGAGGGCATGGCTGCGCCACAATGACTGCTGGCTCTCTTGAGGACTTGTACCAATCATACTCGGTCACAGGTCTCTTCAGGCAACCGTGCCACAGCAAGACGAGAGCCAGAAGAATGTCATTCTTGCTAAATATCACGGTAAAGGGCCTGTTGGAGATGGGCAGGTGCTCCGTCAAAGACTCCCTAGGCTCTGTGGTGCGTTGGCAACTGAATTTGCAGACGCTAAAGCTTATTTGTACCCGCAAACACACCTGCAGGAATCGGCATTCGTGGTTTGGGAGTGAGAGGTACGCAAAGGAATGATAGATAGCTGCCTCGATGCTTGGGTAGTGGCCGGAAGAAGCTTTCTAGCAGGGGAAAGAGAGAAATGGAGTTGAGCCTAGCGGAAAAGGGTTTTTTCCTCGTACAGTGACCCAGGCCTCTTTGAGGACAGCAGAGTGAAAAATCTCTGCTCGCTGGGTAACTGCGCTTTAAAAGCGACAGAACTCTTAGGGTCCGTAAGAAGTGGCGACCGGCGCAGAGAGTGCTTTGAGGATGCTGCAGGTCAAGAGTGTGTGCTCCCTGGGACTTGCGCTGTGGCCTGAGAAAGACCTTCCAGTGCTAGAACAGGATTCAGAGGCAGGAAGCCCGGAAAAGCGTTAGGAAAATGAATCGGGAAATCGGGAACTGTTCGCTTCGAAAGCAGGCAAAGAAAAAGGAGGTGTGATTGGAATACCTAGGAGCTGTGGGTGGTCCTGAGAAATAGGAGGAGGGGCTTCAGGTCTCTCATGACACAAAAACAAAGGGAAAATTGCTTAGAGTCGCGAAGTCAGGACCTCGTGGCCACCTTTGGCAAAGCTCGTTCATCACCAAGGAGGCAAGCTTGGACCTGCTTGGAGAAAATACCTTTTCACGTGTGTGGCCAGGTTGCAGGATTCACTGGTTATGGTGCCAAAAACCAGGCAAAAAGACAGCAAGAACATCCCAAAGTGTGACAGCGCTAGCAGAAACGTTTAGGAAAGGATACCCAATCTGAAGTTTCACTGCTGAAATTAACGTCCGAATTTAAGGATTGAAATGAGACTTGAACTGAGAATAAGGGCGGTTATCCCACTTCATTCTTTCTGCAGGGTTTTTGTCTTTCTCTGATCTATTTGGTGCTGGTTGTTAGTAAAGAGAGTGCTGAACAACATGTTCCCTGTCTGAAGGGGAGCTATGGTTTTCCCTGGGAAAATGAGGACCGCTATGCTGAAGGGGAGACAGATTTAGTCTCTGCTGGAGCGGTTTATGCTCCAGGGTGTTGCATGAAGGGTGGAGGGAAAGGGTGGAGAGCACAGCACGCTCCCCATCTAGAGAACAGTCCGGAGCGCTCTGCCAAGGGCCTCAATTGTTTTTAAATATCTCGCACAGCTTTGGGATGGCAAATAATGGGAGATGGGTGTTCCCCTCTCAGTTCCTCCTTGCTTAGAGCAGAGGACAGCCCTGAAACAGCAGCAGCAGCCCAAAGCTCACTTTCCTCGGGAGACCTCAGCGCTCTCCATCCCCTGTGTGCTGAGCAGTGACCTCAGCTAGCAGGATCACAGCTGGGCAAATAGCCGGACTTCAAGCTCCTGTGTTTTCCCCCCCCCACACCCTGCGGGTTTTTTTCTTTTTTTTTTTTTTTACAGGAGGGGAAAA